CCACAACGGCATATATATACACATACCTACGAATTAAAATGAGAATCACAGAAGGTGTAAATACGCTTGGATATATTTCGCCACAGGGTGGCAGAGTGTACGTACTGATAGCGGCAAGACAGGTCCCATGCTGTACGGAGTGCGTACGCAGCCTGCACCACCACGCGCTCTCTGCTGCCGCCGCTGGGTGCTCGAACCCCAACGACACTCCATCACGCAGGCCGCGGCGTGGCACGATGTGGTGTGCCGCGAGTGGACGCCGCAGCTTCGTGAAACGCAAACGGTGGAATCCGGATTTACCCCGTGAACTTCCTGGAATTAGCCAAACATTTGAATGAAGTTTTTTTTCAAATATCACAGTTCAAATAATATTTTCTATATAAATCACGTCAAATTAGGTGTCATGTTTACACGTTTACCAAATAATTAATATATTACTCGGAATAATGTTTTCCCACGAAATAACCAATTGCTGACATAAACCTCAAACTCGAGCACCTTTTTGCCCCACACCAATCAAAAATTACCAGCTCATCCCAAAACCTTTAGACATCTGCCCGAAGAGCATCATCTCCAGATGACGACAGCGCACAGAGAGCACCCCCGACCCCGTAAGCTGCTTTGATTTCAGTCGATTCGATATCTGTCGTGCCTTTCAGAACGCATCCCCCGATGTATTCACTCCGTCTGTCTTCTCGTCATATTGCTGTCTGCATCAACACAAAAATATATATTTTCTTGGTTCTTTCGATAAAGTCACGTAGATTCAATTTTTTTAAGTTTAAATAAAAATTATAAATTGAAAATAATAAAAGCTTTTATTATTTTCTATTTATTATTTCAAATGTTAATTTTATAATATTTTATAATTTATTTATGTATTTCATATCTACGTGACTTTACCGAAAGAACCATGAATATGAACCCCTGCAGTCACGAAAGTTTTAAGACGAAAATATATACAAGCTTCGAAATTCACTCCCATTCAAGTGTCAAACATGCACGTCATCATCCCCAATCAGTACGCGTGCTTCACAACGCATGTGTGCCTAATGCGCGCGCGAGTGTTTGCGTGCGGAGCGTTTGTCCTTGCCAAGTCGAAATACCCGGACGAAATGGATCCTTGCTTAAGAGACCGAGTTTGCCAGCTTATTTATAGGTTAATAAAACAAAAGGTTTGCGTGGCAAAGAAAGACTCACGGATGTTAAAAGACGAGTGAACAAATGCTGGAGGGAATTCAAAGGATAATCAAAGCTGCATGGAGCAGGGAGCGGTTGCCACAAGAATGAAAAATGTTGTCATCCCATTACATAAGTAGTATAGTGGTATATAAAAAAAAAACCTTTACTTTTTTTAGCAGTTCCCTGGAATGTTATGTTGCCCCATTCCATTTGAGTGTTTGGCTTGTTGGGTGCTGCAGTGGCGATATGTTAACTACCTTGCCTGATATACAGGAAGTCGTGGGTATACAGGAAATCAATCCCAACCCTGACGCCTGTTATACTTGAAGTTTGCATGTTTTCCCCAAGGGCGCGTGGATTTTCATCCGGTTCCTCAGTTTTTCCCTCCACCTTTAGAAACTTGCGCTTAGTTTTAATAATTTAGTTTAGTACCACAGAAAAATGTTCACATTACAGGATAACACTGACAGTTCTGCAGAGATAGATTTAATCAATTTATGCCCGTTCATGCTATCCTACTCCACATCTACAGTACATGGTAGACATGTAATGATGCATCTATTCAGAATGAAAAACAATAATTGTCTGCAGGATGTATTCGTCCATCGTTAAAATTAACACTCCGGTAAAACTTCGTATTCGCACCTATATGAAGGGAATATCGACCCTGCATCCATCACATGTCCCTTCCTTAGCACAATAAAAACCGCATGTAGTTTTGGAAATTGGATGCTTATTTCGGTAATGTCTTCATTATACACACATGTTGCCCACCACGACCTTATGATTGCATTCACACTTGCCATGTGTGTGTGCGTTTCGATCAGCGCATATTGATTTTGGTGTTTGTAAGGTGAACAAAACCACTGCTGACGTCTCTCAAAATGTTGCTGCTTTTATTGTCATAACGGACGAATTTTCAGCATTCTAATCGCATCTAAAAGATCAAGCCTCCCGCAATTCACGTGACAATGTAGCGATCCCCCCCCCCTCTCCTTCCCCATGAAAACAAGCTCCTTGCAGCTCACGTCTGCTTGCTCATCCTCTCTCCCTCTCATCACCCTCTCATCCCCGACTTCTTGGCCGAGTCATTCCTTCACCACCTCCGCCCCTTCCTGCACGGCGCTCCTCATGTATTCCCGCAGCCCGTCTTGTGAGCCGTGCCCTCGGAATCTTGTCTTGAACTTTCGTCTTCAGTCCCTTGAGTTTTCCGCTTCTCTTGCCCGGTCCACCCATTCATTCGTTTCCATAATTTATATATCCTTCACTTCCCGTGGTGTGCCTTGGGTAAGCGTTTCACATCTTCGCTAATTTTAAAAGTAACAAAATGTGAACGCAATGACACGCCATTTGTCCTCGTAATATGAAGAGGACCTCAATCTTCACACCCCTGCATGACACCATTGTGCTTATGGAGCTGGTATCTCGTACCTCGTATGCCTAATCATGCGCGTATTCACAGCAATATTATCAAGTCATATTGCACGCCTTAGATTCTCACTTCCTATATATTTTTTCCTGACAATAAAAAAATGTCCTCTCCATGTCTAAAGCCATAACGGTTTTCCCAAAATCACACTTCTGCCTGCGTGTCTATCTCATTCATCAAATCTCTGGCAAGATTAGGTCAAATAATCCCCGTATAATTGTGTTTATTACTTGGTTACCTCTGACCAAACCACTCTGAATATGCCGAATCATGTCAGATCTTGAAAACTCAGCTGCATTAAGCCTCAGCAGTGCCTGATTGGGTGACTGTTGGAAGAATTAAATGAAATAAAATACAAAATGTAGCCTGTTTTTACTGCCTCGATCACAGTATATTCCTATTTGTACGCGCGTTTAGCCTACATTGTGTTGGCATATCATTTTAATGTAATTGTAAGTAATTTACAGAAAACAACGTAATCATAACAATGTTGTCAAATTACATTCACACTTCAACATAGTGATTTTAATAGTCAGACTAAATTCGGACAAAGATTGCATAATGGAGATCTTAAGAGATGAAAATAGGTTATTCCATAACTTTGGAACTACATTAAATGCTTTTGATCCAAATTGTGCTAAATTTGGAACTATTGATAGATAATCGGACGCGCATCGCAGATATTTAGGATTGACAAAACATGCCCAGTGAAAATGTCTTCTCTCGCCCAAGAACAATTGTCCGGCCATGGAAAAGAAGTCACAGCGATGTGTCTTATTTGGAGCATCTATTGCTTTTGCAAAACCAGACAATTGTTAGTGTAAAATCAATGTATAATGCAGTGTAGCTGAAATGTATAATACAGTGTAGAATGTTGACTTGAGCCAGGATAGTCGTGCGACCTCTTGTGGCAATTATTCCGGAACTGCGTGGTAACAACCCTAAAAAAACCTCAGAATTTATGTGAATACTGTATTTGAGCTTTTTAATGTACGTCTCGAAATAGTTTTTTTTTAATATACATGGCTGGAGCTATTTTATGATTATGAATAAATCTAGTTATGATCGAGTTATGGTGCATTTGAAGAACAAGACACATTTTGGAGCAAGGGGAGGATTTGAGCGGAGAGAAATTCATTCATTCATTAATGGTGACTTTGAAGGCCGTCGTGGGGACTTGATTGAGCCTGGAACAGCATGCCCCTTGGTAGTGATGGTTCTAGCGATACTGGTGGCAGTGGTGTGTTGTTTTCTTATTTTTTTTTAAATCGATGGTCACTTCACATGGCCTCAACAAAAAGTTTATCTAGCCCAGGGGTCGGCAATCCTGCGGCTGTGTGGCTTCCGTCTTGGCGAGCTTCGGCTGGCCCCCTTGCGGGCAGCCGTTTAAAAAGGAACGTAAATCTTTAATGTAGTTTTACGTCAAGATAATTTATTAAAAATCGTAGAGAATGTGTCACCAGTATGGGTTGTCTTGGTGACAACACAATGTACAAACTGTAGTGTTAAAGAATATCTACGGGGGGGGGGGGGGGGTTGGGGACGACGACGACTAAATAGACGCAGTTTATCCCATCACCGATTTTGTTTAAGTCAGAATTTGTCATCTGCTGCTGAGTTTGTGTACAAGTAGCTATGCGTGATGATGCTGCTCTGGAACTATTTTGGTCAAAATAAATGATTTATCTTCTTCTTTGAAAGGTTCCCGATCCCTGGTACAGCCTGTGTCCAGGCCTGTTGCCAGGCTCGATGCACTTATCCAACCGCAACGCCGAGAAGGTCAAAAGGAACACACAGCCCATAGAGCGGTCTGCCAAGCAGGGCCTGCGTGAGAATGGTTCTGGGGTGGGCCTCAAATCACTGACGCAGCTGCCCTTACTGGGCATGAAGGTCCATTGTGAAGAAGGGCCATTGACTGAAACGTCGTCTTCCTATATATTTGTTTTCCTTTTGAGGCCACAGTGACATTGACGTTTATGTTGAGTTTGTGGGACCTCAAATCACTGACGCAACTGCCCTTACTGGGCATGAAGGTCAATTATGAAGAAGGGCCATTGACTGAAACGTCGTCTTCCTATATATTTGTTTTCCTTTTGAGGCCACAGTGACATTGACGTTTATGTTGAGTTTGTGGGACCTCAAATCACTGACGCAACTGCCCTTACTGGGCATGAAGGTCCATTGTGAAGAAGGGCCATTGACTGAAACGTCGTCTTCCTATATATTTGTTTTCCTTTTGCGGCCACAGTGATATTGACGTTTATGTTGAGTTTGTTTTAATAAATGTAATTCACCGATTTTAAATATAAAAAAGCAAACATGTAATAGCGCGTAATTACCACGTGGTGGCACACTAAGCTGCTAAATGAACGTTTGCAAAAGCGTGGAGGCCACACGCGAGGAGGGCAATAATAAAAAAAATAAATGTAGAAATTACAGCAACAGATGGATGATTTACGGATGCGAGTGTGTGGGGAGTGGGCGTTTACACATCCCAATGGTCCCACAATAAAAAAAGGACCAGAGCACTGACCACCCCAGTAACGCGCCCGACAACACGCAGACAAAAAAAACGCTTCGCAAACGACGCCTCGCCCGTGGGCTTCAGATTGGAAAAGCAAATAGCACGGCGAACGTAACCGGCAGCCGATGCCCTCCCTACATTACCATACACACCATCAGGAGGTTCAAGGGCAGCAAGGGAGTCCCACACACTTGGAACCAAGGTGATAAACATTAGGGGCGCGCGCGGTCGCATCTGGCGCCGGGTGGGACACCCGTCACAGCACAGAGGAAATCAGCGAGCGTTCGTCTCCGCGACAGGAGCTGATATCGGCAGGCGGCAGGCAGGCGGCGGCAGTAGACGCCGACAGACGCCGACAATGAGCGTGTACACGGTGACTGGGGCGCTTCTTTTCCTGTGCACCCTCGGGTCCTCTCCGGCCGCGGTGGATGCCGGCGTCTTCAACAACATCTACCCGGAGGTGATCAACAACACGCTGCACTACTACTTCGTGCCGGACGGCGTCTACGACGACGAGGACGGCCTCGACAAGTGCCTCGTCGAGTTCGACCTCAGCGGCCGCAGGCTGGACCTCGACGATCGGCGGAAAAATTCGTGGAGTGGCTCCGACTTGGACGGCTTCAGGCGTGAGACGAAGGACGACTCGCGCGTCCTTGAGAGCCTGCTCAAGGCAAGAGGGGGGATGACGACCTGGTGGTGGTGGGGGGAGATGTTAACTCCCTCGCCCGGTTCGATTACCTGAGCCCTGACGCTTGTTGTGTATTTGTTCATAGAGTTGACACTTATTCACGTTTTTTTTTTGGATAATCGCCCGATGAAGCTGGCTGTGGTCGCCAGCGGAACGTCGTACTCGAATTTTTAAGTTGTTGTGTGTTTACTCTCCAACACACGCGCGTGCTGAAGTGGTAACTAATCGGCACGTTTTGCTTCCGTGACAAAGTTTACTAAATGGCTGTGTCGGGCGGTTGCGGGTTTAACAACACATTTATTTTACCGCGGTCTAACAAAACAAAAATCTTATTATGTATTTATATTAATTTGCATGTCTCTCTCTTTCTCCGTGTCCTCCGGTTTAGAATCAACATCACGCGTTTCGTGCTTGGCTGCTATACATCTCCGCATGATAAGCGACTTCGCTGAGCAATCATTTGTGGCCAGGTCGCTTCTGAAAAAAATAACTATACAGCTCAGTGGGTCCTACCTGCTAAAATATAGCAGATTTAGTTTAGTTTCATTTAGAGCACAGCATTGAGCAAGGCTAGAGGCCACCATGAGGATATCATTCAGGGGTCGGAAATAAGGATGTCTCGTTATTCCCATAAGGACTGTCTCGTTTTTCCCATGCAGCATTGTGGATCATGAAATATTGTTTTTTTTTTACAGATTTCGAAATAAAATCTCTTCTTTTGGTAGCCGAACCCTGGTGTCTATACAGCACTGTGTATCTTCAGTTTATTTAGAGTACAGTATATCTCAAGGCAAGCGAATGAGCAGTAACATTGACCAATCTTCTTGTGTGTAGACTGTTTTGCAGGGTGGCTCAACCCTGCTTAGCTTCCGAGATCTCAGAAGATCGTGATCGCACGCCATGTCCTTACATCACCTCTTCTGAGACGTCTGGCGAAGGTGGAAGAGTAGGCCAAATGCCCTCTAGACAGGCTCCCTAGAGCTCCCCCTACCGGAGGCCCTTCCGACAGCAGTGGCGTGAGGAGGGAATTGCAGGGCTGCCCCTTGTTAACATTCCTATACAGAATTCACCCACACGCATACATCATCACGCAAACTCCGGTCATCCTCGCAGCGGCTTTTGGCTAAGCATCGAACAAAGACGGTCACGGCATCGCGTGCTTTCAGATGCGCTTCTGCGGCCGTCTGGAACGCTCTTCCTTCCGATATTAGAAAACCACTGGAGCTATGCATTTTTAATAATCTCGATTGACAAAGTAGAACTCCTTTTTTTGTGTTTAGTTTGCTGTCCTTCCCCACACCTCCGATTAGCACGGTTGGCTTCGTACGGTGCAAAATAAGTTCAACATTCATACACGTGATATAGCGATGTGTGTCGCAAGGCTAGGGGCCACACTAGTGGGATGGACGCCTCGGGTGCACTTTGTACATCTGAACCGGTGTTTTAGTCGGCTTCTGATGACCATGTGAATTGCCCTTTAACGTCCACGGTTTTATGTCAACGAGACTCTGTCGAGATATCGATTCATGATTGCGACACGCGTTCCATCCGTATGAAAGAAGACGACAGACTAGACGAAGACTAAACATATTTGAATCCTGACTAAATAAACACCAATCTCAAGCCACCAACAACACCACATGGACCTCCGTGTCTCAGAGGTGCATGCGGTTCTGTCCCAGTAAACATGGAACGTTGGGACAACGTTGGCGTTGGTCCAGCTCTAACCACATGCCAATGTTGGCCCCACGTTGCATGCGAATTGGGTTTGTCCTTGTGGTTCTGTATAAGGCAAGGGGCCATCAATGAGGTGGACATCTTTGCTGTGTTGTCTAAAGTATGATTGATGGCACCAACGAATTCTTATATAAAAAAAACTATTGTCACGGCACTTTGTCATTCCACTGCTGTATGAAGCCTGCTTTCCATGCCGTGCCATTTCTTGGGGACGGGTTTCTTGCCAGAATTGGTTCACATATCACCTGTGCCACTGATGTCAGCCGTGGCCGGGAATCCACATCAGGTGGCCGGGCTCGTATTTCGTCATAGCCCAGCGCACTCACTATTGTATGTGTAGTGGTTGAACTTTACACGAACAACTTTCGTCTTTCTTCAACCACTTCTTTATTTTCATCGTTTAACACGTCCTCCACACTCCACCGTATCCTGGACACCACGGCTCGCTCGCCGTGCTTGGCCCGTCTCGCCCACCACCTTGGTTCCCAGTATCACGTCGCTATGCTCCGCACACACGTCTTCAACTCCTCTATCCCTACGCTCTCTCCACTGCTGGCTATCCTCCTCGGCTCCTCCGCTATACAGCGTCGTCGCACACACAGCGAAACCCAATCTCACTTTTCTGTCTCCGCACACCTCGTCTCCAGCTCCTCTATCACTATGCTCTCTCCACTGCTAACTGCTCCGTCTTGCTTCAGCTTCGCTATCACTATGCTCACTCCACTGCTAACTGCTTCATCTTGCTTCGGCTTCGCTATCACTATGCTCACTCCACTGCTAACTGCTTTGTCTTGCTTCGGGTTCGCTATCACTATGCTCCAACTCTCTTCTAAACTCTGTTTCCGAACTCCACGTCTTCACCGCACAGCTCCCAACTCCAATCTCCCCCTCTCTCTCTGTCTCCCCCCAATTTATCCCCATTCTCATTATCGCTAATTAATTGGTTCGCGTGCCTCCGCATGCCTCGCGTCTTCAACCACCTGCCTTTTTCCAGACACCTCGATGCCTCCTCGGCCCCAGCAACAGCACCAACCAATCACAGCCCTTCTGGCTTAATTGGCCCGACCGTTACCTTATCACCCCAGCCTCTTCACCTGGCTATCCTAACACGACCCCACTGTTTCCGCCGTCTCCTCAGGCTGACCCCAGATAAACCCCACACTGTCCGTGTGATCAATACAATCGCGCAGTTTCCCCAGGACACCTTCCTACTCCACTACATCACCCCCACCCCCCCCCCCGTGATAAAAAAATCTAGCCATCCCAGCTACGACGATATTTTGAACCTGGAGTAGTGGAGTACCGCGGACATAGCAATGAACAACACAACAACTTTGTACAAGAACCGCAACTTGCAAACCAACACAACAACTTTGTACAAGAACCGCGACACGCAAAGTCAATGGAAGGTCCGTCCTCGGGAGCGAGTTCCAGCTGCCGGCCCATTTCCCCTACAAGGGACACCGTGGGGCAAGGGCGGGCCTCGCTCCTCCGTTAAGTGAGGGCCGCTCCTGGTCCTCGACACACACCCGTCCCTGTCCCAGCGACCATCCGCTGGCGGGACTGTCCGTCGTCCATGCTCGGGCCGGACAGCATTTCGAAGTTGCGGCCGCTCAACCGGCGTTCGGCCCGCAAACCTGCCCGAACCCCCTCGTCGAATCAATAGGGATGGTCCCGGAATCATCGGTCCTGGGGAAATCTCCGGTCGTAGCTGGTCGGCGCCCTTGGAGGGCCGCCCCTGCGCCGCCAGCAGTCGCGGGCGAGATGTCCTCTCCGTCCGCACTCGTAGCACGTTCGCGGCGTGCCACCTCCATACACCTCGGGACGACGCAGCACGCCCGCGGATGGCACCCCGGCCGCCGCTGCAATCGGCGGCGCCTCGTTCACCGCCACCGCGCTCTCGGCCGCGGCAGCGCTCATCAGCAGCGGCTGCACACCCACCACCGCTGGCTCGTCTCGGAGGTCGAGGTTGCCTTGGATGTTCCTGGCGATCTGCAGAGACGACATGTCGTCGTCGTCGTTGCTGTCCGGGAGCGAAAGGACAATCCTTAGCTCCTTCGACAACTGCAAAAGTTTCTCTTGCAGTAAGGAATCCAGGGCCTCTTGGTCCATCGCCGGGTATGCCACTTGAGCGAGGGCCAACAAGGCGCTTCGGAACGCAAGAGGGGATTCCGTGGCCTCCCGCTTCCTTTGCTGAAATCTACGTTTGGCGACCGACCGCGGCTCGTAGACCTTTCTCATTGCCGCAAGTGCCCCGTCCAGTGTTGACCTGACGGCGGCAGGGAGCCCATTAAATGTCCCCAAAGAGTCATCATCGAGGGCCGTCGGCAGTGCCCGCAGCGCGGCACTCTCAGTCCACTCCAGAGATTCATAAGCTGCACAGAAATGTCGTGTAAACGCTGTCCAATCCCCAACTTTGGCCTCGAACCGCTGCACATGAAGTCGCCGTGCCGTTCCCGACGGCTTTGCTTCCTCGTCGTCGGATTCCTCCAATCGCTCCGATGCCGCGGCAACCTCTGCTGGTCGACTTGACACCATTGGTTGTATGCGGTTCGATGTCATAAAGTGGGGGAACTCCTCCGTCAGCATCGCCATCCTGGCCTCCCACTGGGCCATGAGGACTCTCCAATCCCCCGATGGTCCCGGGCCTTCGGCCCCGCTCGAACCGCCGCCTCGTTCTGTTGTTTCCCGGTCGACCAGACCCGCTGGGGGAGTATCGGCCACTTGGCCGGACACGGGCAGCACGTCCTCATCGTTGCTGTCGTCGCACGAGTCCACCGGCACGTTCTTCCTCTTTGCCGCCTTCTTTGACATCTCGGCGTGGTTCGTAGCTACTCTGACACCAAATGTAGTGGTTGAACTTTACACGAACAACTTTTGTTTTTCTTCAACCACTTCTTTATTTTCATCATTTAACACGTTCTCCACACTCCACCGTATCCTGGCCCGTCTCGCTCACCACCTTGGTTCCCAGTATCACGTCGCTCTACTCCGCACACACGTCTTCAACTCCTCTATTCCTACGCTCTCTCCACTGCTGGCTATCCTCCTCGGCTCCTCCGCTATACAGCGTCGTCGCACACAGCGAAACCCAATCTCACTTCTCTGTCTCCGCACACCTCGTCTTCAGCTCCTCTATCACTACGCTCTCTCCACTGCTAACTGCTCCGTCTTGCTTCAGCTTCGCTATCACTATGCTCACTCCACTGCTAACTGCTCCGTCTTCTTCAGCTTCGCTATCACTA